CGCACGCACGCACGCGCACACACACGGATCAATACTATCCGCCTTCCCACACCATGCGGCGCGCTGCGTAAGGAATGACAAGAACAGGCCACGATCAATCAGGCACAAACTGTAAACACATTGCAGGGGGAGCTGCAAGAAAATACCAAAGCTATCCTCCCGTGATCTGCACAGACACGCAAACCAGCCAAAAGGACCCAATCCCATTCAATTTCTGCAACCCGTCCGTTGTCGTGAACCTTGTGCCCACGATCTTGCTATCCTTCATCAGCTTGGCGAAGCCTTTCCCATCCATTTCCTCAGCCGACAGTGCACGCCACGAAATCTTACCAGTACCCGTTCCATCAAGTTGCTGTTTGGCCTGGGCTGCAATATGCTTCAAAGACATTCTCCAGGAGACCACAGCCCTGGCAACTGAGCAGGGTCCATTACAAGGACGCCACGAGTAAACATGCGAGTGGCGTGCCTCTCTGCGACCGATTGTTGCAGCTTTTTCCAGGGGAGTCAATGGCCGTATCCATCCATTGGATCCTGTTCCTCAGCTTGACTCCGGCAAAGGGCCACGCTACCCGCCTGCCCCTGTGCAAGGAAACTAAACATGGATACCCGCAAAACAACGCAACAAGGAAAAGAGTATGACAACACGACAGCACACACATGCTACCGCTACCAGGACGTCTACGAGCAGCGAACAGTAAGATCGTGCCCCATGTCGGTGTGCGGTGTTCTCGTTCCTTGTTCCGACGAAGGGGTGTTTTGCAAGCCTGTACAGTTTGGGCAAGCTTACCTCTTCACCATAAATACAGTCAGCACTGCTTCTGTCGCAAGACAGTACGAATTCAAAACTAGACATGAGGTTTCCAATCTCTTCTGCCCACAGGAACCCTGAAATGCAATGCCTGTCAATGCAGTTTCGTGTTTCCTTCACCAGCCAGCTCCACAAGAGACTTCTTGTGGCTCTCCCCACGGAGGCACCATGGGGCAGAGTCGTAATTGCAACAAACCCAATCCCTTCTTGCCGCACTTATGCTGCAAGAAAGGCGCGGCTGAGCTTGCGCTCCAATCCGGAACTGCTGCCAGTGCTAGCACCGAGGAGATTCGGCAATGCACATGCCTCGCACGCCAAATTCCGAGCTTACACCAACGACAGTACTAACTACTCCGGCGCTGCTAATTAGTTCAGGTCATGCTGGCTCTCTTCAGAAACACAATATGCTCATGTGGAGGTCCCAGCTGTATCGAAGAAGTGGTCACAAAAGTGGTTCCACCGAGGAAAGTCTCAGTCGCATGCGATGCTCCCGAAGAAGTACGCCAGCACAGACTCCCAGTGGAAAAACAAAACAGCAGTCCAAGGCCAAACCAGAGTTGAAACTGCGCCACTGCGCCATCAGCGCCACGTTGCCTACCGGGCCTCGTGCCCTCAGCAACATAGTCCATGAACTTGTCTATAGTGTTACCAGTACTACACTTATTTGGGGGAGTGCTGCTTGTAAGGTCTTCATTCTGCTGCTTCCATGTGCAAAGAAGCAGGATGTCGCATGATCTCAGCCGTCACAAGTTATTACAATGCTGCAGACAGGCCCCTAACAGAAGAACCAAAGCAGGTGAGCGGCTCCGCTAGATGTCCGTGACAGCGACCGCCGTGGCTTCATGGACTGGGGCACATGGCCGTAGCCCTCGGAAGAGACATTGATCTGCAGAGTTGCAGAAGGGCTCTCTTGCTAACTCCGTGATGCTGATCCCAAACAAAGGAGTGCCATCCTCCAAGAGATAGGGGGGTCGGGTTCGACCGGTCAGGCCTTCGGTACAGACTCCGGCCCGCCGCGTGCATGGGTGCCAGTGTAGGTTGTCTTGTCATCATGAAAGCGCACCTGGGAAATGACAAGGCACCCTAACTACAAGCAGGGCGAACGAAGCCACAGAACTGATCTTCTCATTTATCAATCGGGGTCTAAACGCTAATTCCTCTAAACGCTAATTCCTATCGTCCTATCGCTCGACCCTTTTTTGCATTAGGACTTTTGCGTTCGCCTGAAAGTGATCATCCGTCCATCCACCCTTGCATCGATTAAGAAATAAACAAACCAAATAAACGAGTAAACACCCACACACTATCCCTCTCTCCCTATATATACATATGCATGTATGTATTTATGTCTGTATGTCTGTATGTATGTCTATATGTATGTATGTCTGTCTGTATGTCTGTCTGTCTGTCTGTCTGTATGTATGTATGTGTATGTATGTATGTATGTATGTTTCTTCGTATGTATGTTTGTAAAACAGATATAGATATAGATACAGACACAGATATGGGTAGACTTAGACACACACACAGACACACACACACACACGTATACTTACCTATGTGTCTATGTATGTGTATGTATGCATGTGTATATATATATATGCATGCATTTCTTTGCCTTAAGATACCAAATGACTATATATGCATATATGAGTTTGTTTATCTATAATCAGTCTTTATTCATTCATTCATTTATGTTTATTATATGTATATGTACAGTATATATGTATATTCATATTCTGCATGCACACATGCAAATATTGCAGCACACCTGCGCATATACACACACACGCACACACACACTCACTCAACAGCGCACCGCTTCCATCCGGAACACCACGATTTGGAATAACATGCCAGAACGCACCTCACACAAAAGTCATGCAGCTGCCGTCGAAGCACAGCCTCGGCCTTGGTACCTTCCAAGGCTGGACCCGCTCCATCGGCGACCCTTTGCATGACATCCTCCTGGAAGAGTCACAGAAGAAGTCCGTTCGCAAAACCCGAGGCCTTTTATGCCGCTGTTGGCAGCTGCGCGTGTAAACTGCACCTGTGGACGTGTCATGCGCCTGGCTGCATCCACGCCGCTCGGCGATGAGGCCGAGAGCCTGTCCGGGTGAGGCGAACACAACAGCACTACACAGCACTACAGATGCAAAGCGCATCAGCGGCAACGGCCACCTTCTCAAACTCGGCTATGGTGATGCGGCGCTGTCCCTCTCGGCAAGCCAGCACGGCAGAAAAGGTGGCTCAAGGCACTTGCGAAGACAACTCGAATAATCTAGACGTCCTTAGAGTCTTGGATCGTTCCAGTACCAGGAAGTCTTGCACCTTCGGCACCACTTTTGCGAAGATCAGGTCGGCATCCGTCGAGCTGAAGATCCGATCCTCTTGGCGCAGGCGAGATAATTTCACATCACGAAGCTGATCTTAGGAGGTAGTGCCGCCCGCACAGTGAGGCCCGGACCACCAGGCTGCAGTCCTTGCAAAGCTTCGTAAAGCTCCTTCGGGCGGCGGGTGGCACTTCTACGGACGTTTATGCAGCAGATCACTCTCAGTCCTGCCGTCTATCTCTCCGGAAGAAGAAGCCGAATAGCTGGAGAAGATCGGCGCAATGTCAGCCAGTTCTGCCATTTTAGGCCTTGGCATCTTGCGTTTTGTATGTCTCGAACCCAGACGGGGACGTGCACCCCAATTAGGCTCTGGGACCTCGACTTTGCCGCAGGGTGTTGCTGCTCAGCAGCTAACTAAATCTATGGAGGCTAGTGGCTTCAACCAACAAACTGCGGAAGGACACAAGCAGAAGGCTGAAATCCATCCATCACTGACTGCGTGACTGGCATCGCTTCGCTCGTCTCACGCCCAGCACCAGAAGCGCAACTCAACTCGCATGGTCTGTTTTCGAGTTCCTAGAAACGATGACGCGATTTGCTAAGCACAGAAGTGACAGGCTTGCGATTCTGGAACATGCAAGCACAGAAACTAAAGCTAACTGTGACCAGGCGCTCGGCTCTGCGCAAGGTCTATGCACCCGTGCGGGAGCTTGGCACTGGCCGGTCAAAATACCAGGATTTTCCTCATGCCTCTCCAGGGAGGTGTCGGCTCGCCCTCTGCGGCCTGCAGTGGCATCTCCGGCGCATGACTCCTTCCGGAATGCATCCCAATTTCAGGGCCGGTCTTCAGAACAGGGCGGCATGACCGTGCGCTCCACCCCTGCCTGTCAGCCGACTCGTCACCAGCTGATCTGCCAGGTGTGAGCAGCGGTTCAGATCAAGCCGCCCTCAAAATGCTGGAAACATGTGGACGACCCTTGCTGCTTCCAACTCTCCCATTCGACCGTTCAAACAAGTCTGGAATCCTGCATCGTGCCTGAAGCTCCAGCAAGCTCTCCAAGGCAGTCAGAGGCCAAAGTATCCAGTCCAGAGGGAAGGGCAGCAGCGCAAAGAAGTGCGTTAACTGGCAGCGCAGTGCCGAAAGAAATCGCGAGGAGGGCTAGATTGTTGACCTCTGTGGGAATATTCAAACTTTAACGTGCATCATTAGCCCATGCGAGCCTGAAAGTAGAAGCCGATCATGGCCAGTGGGTATCCGATAGCTTCGTCCAGGTAGGACTCTTCTGCATTGAAGGGCCTCGAGAACTCTTTAGAGCATGTTCTTCACACCATGCCCCCATAGGCATAAGCAAGGCTGACTAGGTCTGAGCAGCGGGCTTCTGCACCTTAGTGACTCGGAGATAAACCCATGCCCTCACGATCCCTGATGAGCCCTCGGCAAAAGGTAAGGAGTCCGTCCATCCCCACTTCTGGCAAATCCTTACCACGGCCTCACACTGACACATCTTTGTGGATCCGATCTGCCCGTCCTCTCCCACAATCCCGTTTGACCTCACCGAACAGCTGGCCCCCTCGAAGCCCGGAGTAGAAGGCAGCCCTGTCACAGCGCTCAGAGCTGGAACTGGAACCGGGGCATACTAAACACAAGCGCAGATCGCACTGGCAGTTCGATAAAAGCAATTATTTTTGACTGCAGCTCCACCCCAGGCTGTCCAGCATCTCCCTCACTAGGCATCAACTCGTCCGCCAGCTCCTGCATGAGCAGCTGCAGCACTTCGTCCGTGATGGTGTCGACTGCATCTCCATCCCTCGAGGCTTCGCCAGGGCTCTGAGCAGACTGCTGAGCCGCCCTTCTCCTTGCAGCCTCGTGCTGCTCGAGAACGGCCTCTGCCGTCACCTGCTGGAGCAGCTCTTCCGCAACGGCATCTGCCTGATGCGGTCAGTTACAGATCTGTTCGCCTAGTCCCGAGCCTTCGGTGAATTTACCAGTATGCTTTTGTTAATGGGTTACAGAGCTCCGAAACCTAAAGCGCATCGCCACTGCCAAAGACTTAAATTGAAAAGTTTCCCACATCTGAGCTTACAGCATTAGCCTATGCTGTGCACTTGTTGCTGCATTCCCTTACAAAAGGCATGCGCACGAGCGTTGAACTGCAGCTTTAACATCATGCAGGCTGTGGTGGCATCGCTACCACTCAGGAGTCCACACGGCTCAGTATCGACAACCAGCGGCTATTCCGGAACTAAGGTTCGCATTTTCGCAAGGCAGGATCGAGTCCTCGTACAGAGATGGAATGGGCAGAGAAGTTTCGATCATAGAGAGCAAAGTGGTTCTTCCTCACAACATCGGTTCGAGCTGTGGGGCCTAACTGGTTCATCATTCACACTTATGTCGGATTCTGCGTACCTTGGCTATTCAATGCTATTCAGCTGCAGTTTGCATGGATGTGGCACCTGCCTGTCGAGCCAAGCGCTGCTTCTCTTCCTGCCGAGCACGAGCTTCTTCAGCAGTCGGTCTTTCCCTCTCCGTTGCCTCTTTGGCAGTCACCTCTTGGGCGAAGCGCTGCTCCTCCTTCTTCCGGACCTCTTCTGCTCCCACGCGCTCCTCTTCAGCTTGCTCAGCTGTTGCTTGCCCGGCTGTGGTCGAGATTTCCTTCTCCACTGCTTCTTTGGCAGCCACCTCCTCGGCTAAGCGCTGCTCCTCCTTCTTCCGGGCCTCTTCTGCTGCCACGAGCTGCTCTTCAGCTTGTTCGTCAGCGGCTTCCTTGGCTGCGGCCAAGCGCTGCTCCTCCTCGTTCTCCGCTGCTTCTTTGGCAGCCACCTCTTGTGGTAAGCGCTGCTCCTCCTTCTTCCGGGCTTCTTCCGCTGCCACGCGCTGCTCCTCTTCCTTCTCCGCTGCTTCTTTGGCAGCCACCTCTTGGGCTAGGAGTTGCTCCTTCTTCCGGGCTTCTTCTGCTGCCGCACGCTGCTCTTCGGCATATTCATCTGCGGCTTCCCTAGCTGCGGCCAGGCGCTGCTCCTCTTCCTTCTCTGCTGCGTCTTTGGCAGCCACATCTTGGGCTAAGTGCAGTTCCTCTTCCTTTTCCGCTGCCTCGTTAGCAGCCACCTCTTGGGCTGCGCGCTGCTTCTCCTTCTTCCGTGCGGCTTCTGCTCCCACGCGCTCCTCTTCAGCTTGTTCAGCTGTGGCTTCCTTGGCTGCGGCCAAGCGCTGCTCCTCTTCCTTCTTTGCTGCCTCTTTGGCAGCCACCTCTTGGGCTACGCGCTGCTCCTCCTTCTTCCGGGCTTCTTCCGCTGCCAGGCGCTGCTCCTCTTCCTTCTCGGCTGCTTCTTTGGCAGCCACCTCTTGGGCTAGGCGCTGCTCCTTCTTCCGGGTTTCTTCTGCTGCAACGCGCTGCTCCTCTTCCTTCTCCGCTGCTTCTGTGGCAGCAGCCTCCTGGGCTAAGCGCAACTCCTCTTCCTTCTCCGCCGCCTCTTTAGCAGCCACGTCTTGGGCCAAGCGCTGCTCCTCTTCCTTCTCCGCTGCCTCTTTGGCAGCCACCTCTTGGGCTAAGCGCTGCTCCTCTTCCTTCTCCGCTGCTTCTTTGGCAGCCACCTCTTGGGCTAGGCGCTGCTCCTTCTTCCGGGCTTCTTCTGCTGCAACGCGCTGCTCCTCTTCCTTCTCCGCTGCTTCTGTGGCAGCAGCCTCCTTGGCTAAGCGCAGCTCCTCTTCCTTCCCCGCCGCCTCTTTAGCAGCCACCTCTTGGGCCAAGCGCTGCTCCTCTTCCTTCTCCGCTGCCTCTTTGGCAGCCACCTCTTGGGCTAAGAGCTGCTCCTCCTTCCTCCGCGCTTCTTCTGCTGCAACGCGCTCCCCTGCAGCTCTATCCGCGGCCAGACGCTGCTCCTGTATCTTCCGGGCTTCTTCTGCGGCAACTCGCTGGTCTTCAGCTTGTTTCGCTGCAGCTTGCCTTGCCGCAGCCAGATGCTCCTCCTCCTCCTCCTCCTCCTTTGCCCGGTCTTGTGCCACACTCCCCTCCTCAGCTTTTGTTGCAACTGCTTTGGCCGCTGCTGCCTTAGAGATTGCCTCCTTGTCCGTTTGCTCTGCTTGCATCGGAAGCCGTTGCACAAGCTCTTGTAATGTTTCCAATAACTGCTGGGGCATTTGCATCTCGACCGCTTCAGGGGGCTTCGGCTTCGTCAACTCCACGTGCAAGCGTCGCACCTCGGCCTTCAAGTCAGCCACTTCGGCTTGCTCCTGCTGGCGAGCCTCGCGCAATTGCTTCATTTCTTCGTCCCTAAGGGCCCTTTCCTTTTCCTCGCTAGAGCTCGTCGATTGCGACTCGGCTCGTCGGAACTGCTGCAGCAGCTGGTCTAGAAAGAGATGTAAGTCAGGTTGCTGTGGCTGCGCGGCCTGTTCTCTGTGAGCCAATTCAACCTGCAGAACAGCCACTTGTTCCTTGAGCTCCGACAACTGTTTCTGGTGCTCCAGGGCATCAGTTTGCCGTTGCGTCTCAGCTGCTTTGTGAACCTGCTCCGCTTCTTTGCGAGCAGACTCCCGAGCAGAGTCGAACATCAGGCGCTGTTCATCCTCTAGCCGCTTAGCTTTAAGCAAGCTCTGTTGGATCTCACCATGCTGTCGCTGCAGGTCTGCTTCTTGCATGGCACCCTGCCAGGCCAGCCTGCTCTCCTGCAATCTGGCACCCTCTTCTAGCAATCGCTCCCTTTCCCGCTGAATAGCTTCACGCTGCAGGTCGTTCACATGCCTTTCCTGGTTTGCTTCATCCCTTTCTTTCTCCAGAAGCGTCCATTGGCGAACCATCTCCTCTTGGTCCTTCCGCACTGGAACAACAGGCTATGCTCTGGAGTGCTGGCTCCAGGATGCTGCCTAAGTTGGGTCGGTGAGCCCGTTATTCAATGGGTTCTTGTTTGATAAGGAGAGCGCGCAATAACAGCGCAAAAAGGAGGGGGCAATTACAGCGCACAGAAGGGCAATCACAGCGCAAAAAGAAGGGGGCAATTACAGCAGGCAACTACAGCGCACATTAAAAACACTAAAAACACGATTCCCGCTCAACCCGTCCCACGACCGGAGGGGCGGGAATCGTTTTATTGAAGTTTTCGGCAGCTAAAAACACCAAAA